CATCCCCCCGCCCCGTCCCCGCTCCGAGCGGAGGAGCGCACCGCGAGCACGGGAGCCTCGGCCCGCCCACCGCCGGTTTCCAGGAAGCCAGCCGGCCCGGGAGCCCTGCCGCGGGCCAGCGACTCCGCGTTCCCGTCCGAGCTGCCCTGATAAACTCCCAGCGCCCTTGCTGCGTGGCTCCCAACGCGGGGCACCCTCTCTGAGCCTCAGTTTCCTCAAGTGTGAAACTGTCCTCAGAGGTGGGCGTTCAGAACGGTAAATGAAATAAAACGGAGTGAGGTTAGTCCTGTACCGGCTCATCACACACCTGCCCTGTGTCCACAGCGGATCGCTACGGTACTTTTATTTTTGCGGCACTGGGGATTGAACCAGGACCTTCACCCTGAGCTACATCCCGGGCCCTTTTTATTATGTATTTATTTTGTTTTGAGGCAGCCTCTAAATTGACCTTGGCTGTGCTCCAACCTGTAATCCTCCCGCCTCAGCCTGCGGGAGCGCTGAGGTCCAGGCGTGTGCCATCCAAACCCTGGGTGAGGACACTGATTCTAAAAGTCAGCGGTGACCCTGTGCGCTGTATCCTGAGATTAGCCGGGTAAGGGGAGCTGACTGGACCTGAGGGTAGGCAGGTGAGAGGCTGGAAGCTCGACTGGAGGGAACCCCCAGGGGTAAAGAGAAGGAGCCGCGGGGCTGGGGAGAGAAGTCTGCGCACACCGCTCAGACTCTTACAGAGCCTCTTCCTTCCTTCCGAAAGGTGGTGGTGTCCTCAGGACTCCGGGCTGGCTCCAAGGAGCGGAGGCCTGGCCTCCACCCCGATTCAGCCCTTCGAGAGAACTTCCCTGACCACTGTCCCGAACGGAGAAGCCTCCTTCCAAAGGACAAGGGGTACCAGGCTCTTCACCTGAGACGGGTGGGGCGCGACTGGAGAGGACCCTGCAGCACCTCCCCCGACTACAAGGGACTCGCACCTCTGTGGACCTGGCTCTCGGAGTGGACAGAAGCTGCCTTTGAGAGGCAGTGAGCTCCTGATAAGAGAGGTGTGTCGCGGAGCTTGTCACCTGTGGCAGTGATGGGAGGAAACACCCCGAATGTGAGAGAGGCAGGGCTGGACTCGGAGTTCCCAAAACTTACCTCTGGATATATCCCCTGAACAAGTGGAACAATATTTTTCCTTTAAACAACTCATGTGTTTTATTAAAAGGGTAAGTTTGCTTTGAAGAAGGTAATCGGGATCGATTATCATAGAAAGGTCTTCATAAAAATAGAGGAAACAAAGTAATAATTAAATTCTAGCCAAATACCACTGCCTGCTAAGACTGCACCCCAGGCAGGCCTCAGACCCCAGCAGGGATCCTGCAGGATTCTTCCCCAGATGTCATCTGAAGATAAATCCAGGGCAAACATTTCTAGCCTGTTAATGAAAATACAGGCCTGGTCCTGTCCTCAAAGGTTCTCCTAGGCTTCTAGGCACCTGAGGGCATCTGTATGTCCAGAGACCTCAGCACAGACCACACCCCGTGCAAGAAGCCAAATTCACAGGCCTCTGGGCACTCGGGATGGAAGAGCTCCGACCCTGCAGGCCCAGCGGTGGTCTTCAGGAGACTGTTCTGTGCTTTATCTCGCTCTGGAGGACCAGAAGGGGTAGGAAGGGCTGGAGGGAGGCCGCCACAGAGCACTACAGCGAGTTGGAACAAGGGCAGGGTGATTATGTGACTTGGAACATTCTGAACTCAATAAATTCTATCCTGGTGCTGTTTTTATGGAGAGGAAATAATTAAAAAGAATGAACTTGAGTCCACTAGCTACCCTGTGGTCTGGTGGGGGTGTGCTGCTACATGCTGGGAGTCTTTGGAAGTCTCAGAACAAACGCCTTATGCTTTTATGGTCAATTATTGTCCTCTGACATCATCTTTGGAGAGCTAAAGACCTGAAGTGTAAATGCTTGTGGTTACACGTGCTCCTTCTCCACAAACTTTGACTGGCTTGTGGACACCGTCACTTCCAGGACATTTTATCTTTATAGGAAATTTTATCTTAAGGCCGGAAGAGAGACAGGCGCTGTGGAGCTCACTTGTAATTTCAGCTGTTTGGGAGACTGAGGCAGGAGGATTGCACATTCAAGTTTGCCCAGTTTGGGCAATTTAGAGAGAACTTCTCTCAAAATAAAATATAAAAAGGGCTGATGTTGTAGCTCACTAGTAGAATGCCTTGGGTTTAATCTGCAGCACTACACACACACACACACACACACACACACACACGAGAAACAGTTTCTTCAAAGTTTGAAAGAGTTTAATAGCCAAGCCGGAATGGCCTAGGGTCCTCACTGCCCGTCCTCCCCTCCCCGTTCCTAGTCCTTGGATGCATTTCAGACAGCCACCAGCCTGGCTGCTAATGCGCTACTGCAGAATATTTAGACTTCTGTTAATGCAGTGTTTGGTGTGTCTATTTTGGTGAATTTTGCATATATATTAGTGAATTCATTTAAAATTTATCCCCATTCTTCCTGACTTACAAAACAAGGTCATTTCAAAGTAATGATCATTGATCTCAAGTCTGGAAGTGTTAACAGCTATTGGCGATAAAGTCTCCCGCTGCAACCAGGCCCTGGAAGCCCTGGAGAAAGTTATTAAAAAATATTTAAAGTTAAGATTCCACTGTGTTGCATGAGAAAAAGAATCTCTCTAAAGGTAGAAGGGGAAAACCAGGCTGAGTGAAACCAGCTTCTAGCTTTCCTGTAGAAGGTCAGGCGGCAGGCACACTAAATCCAGTGTTACGTTCGGGAAGGATTCTCTGTGGCGGTGTAGCCCACAGCCCGACCTGCAGTGGAGACAGGGCCGCCCGAGAAGGGAAGCTGGGAGAGGCATCCGAACTTCTGGGATGACAGAACTTCTTTGGGAATGAAGACCATCAGGTAAGGGGAGGCTATGGACAGCTGTGAGGGCCTTTAGAGCAGGAATCCATGATGTAAACACATTTTTTTGTCCTCAGAATTACAGTTTCTTCTCTGGAACCCTTTCGGAGCAGGAAGTGGCTGGAGGGCCCTGCTTGCTCACTGTTGCCTCTGGCACTCCCTTCGCTTCCCTGGACCTCAGCCTCCTGCCGTTCTCACGGGCTCGGCCAGCTGCACTGCAGGCCCTCGGCGCGCGCCGTCATCTCCCCATCCCCTGTCCGTGCTGCCTGGCCAACCTCTAGGGACCCTGCCAGTTCCATGCAAGCACTGTGGATGGGCTTGGATGACAGTGACCAGCCGCAGTGATCAGCCGCTCCGGACAGCAAACTCCTTGCTGTCTATACTGCGTCTCCAGGGCAAGAGGACCCTGGGAGATGAGTTTCAATTCAGCCTTTGTCTTTTTCTGAGACTCTGACATGGTAAAAAGCAGCTTCTGGGGAATGTTTCAAGAGCACTGGATCTTGGTGTCCTTCCAAAACACCAGTGGATACGGCCGCTCGCCTCGGAATCAGAAATGTGCAGATGTATCACGTGAATGCGGCGATTTGTCTGCTACCCAGGCTCCTTCTTCATGGGGCGGTGGTTGCTTTAGTCCAGCATTCTCAAGCACGGGGTCCAGCTTATTCTGCTGGTGAAGGGTTGGGCTTGATGCCTGGCCAGCAGCTGTGGTATCGTCTTCTCTTTAGAAGCACAGTGGACGCCTCAGTGTGCACAGACTGACGCTAGTGATTAGGTGCTGGGTAGGAAAAGGTGACATTGGGACGTCCCTGCCCGGGCAGACAACTCTGAGGATATCTGGGGTCTCCTCAGTTTCAGGGGAGGGAGAAGGCCACTCTGGCTCTGGGGGTGGACGAGCGGCTCCCAGCCCTGTGGCTCCTCGACTGCTGCTCTTGCTGTGCACAGCATGGCTCTGTCGCACCCCGTTCTGCAGGGTGGTTTGCACTGCATTGAGATCCACTTGTGTGGTCTCTGCATAGCTTTTACAAAGAGGCAAATGTTCTTGCCAGCCCAAGTGCACCCAGAATTGCCCCAGCCTGCCCAGCTCCTACCCTGCTGGGACCTCCCACCCCAGGAGGACCTCGAGTTGGGTGAATTGCCTTAGCTTCAACAGACCATGCAGACGGCCTGCTGGACAGGTCCTCTCAAGCCTCGCATTGGCCTCTTCCCTAGACCACCCATCTGTAATTGCCTTGCGACTGGCAGCTTATATCTCATCAGGGATGCTTTCATGTGAAAAACATTAGACGCAAACCCTCACATTATCAGCAATTATTTGCAGCCCTGGGTGGGTGTTGGTGCGTGTTTTACTTTGTTGGGTCCTTAGCAAAACGGTGGTGAGTAGACCCTTTCTTGCCAGTCCTTGGCACCTCTCTGCTAAACTGCTACCTTTCAAAGTGAGTGTCAGAGGGACTAAGAATTTGGGACATTGCCAGAGGGCGTGGACACTTTCCCCTTAGTCCCTCAACCCGCAGGAGCCTCCAAGTCTGGCATGAGGAGGGGATCTGCCCTGTGGAAGTTCCCGGCTGTGTGCAGATGTCCCTGGCCTTATGCAAGGCCTGGGCAGTGTACAGACAGAGTCCCCAGGCCTGTGCATAACTGCCTGGCTGTGTGCAAAGCTGGCAGACTGAGGTTAACAAGAGATGGACTGCTGGGAAAATAAGGGGGTAGATTCAGGCAAGAGAACCCTGCTGGTCTCCACGTTCCCTCCCTGAGAAGCATGTGCTATCCCGAGGGGCCAGGGGGCCAGTCCAGAGGGTGCCCGGGCCATGTCCAGCTGATGCCAAGTTAGTCAGACCTGCAAGGTGCTGGCCAGCAGGCCAGGGGAGCTCAGAGGAGTTGTCAGAGAGCGTGTGACGGTACGTGAGCCTTCTGAGAGGCAAGAGAAGCTTTCAGAACCATCTGCCCCTAGCAGCCAGGTCAGCGCCCTTGGATAAACAGGCCCTTAGCCACTTGGAGACACAGAATTTTCATTTTCTCACCCCAGGGTAGAAATGTGATTTTCTGGCTTGCTGAGCGGCCTGGATGTTCCAGAAGGGATTTGGAGAGCCAACCTAATTTCCTGACCCCAGAAGTCGTATTGCATCCTCTGCCAGGTCTGGGTGTGGCCCTATGTGCAGGCCACAGCTGGCCTCCCTGGACACTGCACAGGGCCAGTGCCTGCAGCTGCTTGTCTTGCCCATCTCCTTTCTTGGCCGCTCGTCTTCTGGCCCAGGCCTAGGGCCGGGCCACCCCTCCAGGCTCTCAGTTGCACAGAACTGCTTCTCCTCTGTCTTCCAGGTGCTGCTGGCTGGGCCAGCTGAGTAGCAAAGGTTACCTCCAAAGCTGGGCGCTCCGGGCCAGCCACCCCATCTGCTAGGCAGGCCCCATCCCTGCCCTTTAAGACGAAGCCACGAGCCCTGCGCCTGCCCCAGCCAGCACTCCTGTGCTGTATCCAGCCACACCCCCAGGAGCTGCTCTGCCCCTGGTCCCCATCCCCAAACGACACCAAGGCAGCTGCCTGCAGAACTGTCTCCTGCCCCCAAGCCCAGCTGCTTCTCCAGCCTCTGCCTTGGAACCTCCCTGGCGGGAGCTGCTCCAACCACCCAGGGCTGTCTTCTCTGCTTTTCTTTTCCAGGCCATCCTTCACCAGGCCTCCATGGCGTCGGCATTCTGGCCAGCCCCAAACCTGTGTCCAAAGCCGAGTGTCCTCCAAGTCACGCTGGCTCCAGACCCCCCAGGAGCCCTAAGAGTCTTGTAGGTTTTGAACCTGTGAGACTGCAGACAGCACGGCCCCGGCCCTCCTTAGACCTGACTGCTCCCTCGTGGGTGCCGATGCTCTGGGCTGAAGGGCAGAGCCTTAGCGCCCCCGTCCCTGAGCCGGCACCCAGTCTGTGTGAGGCAGTGGAGCTTCCAGTCCCAAATACTTCTCGGGGTGGCCGTGACCCCTCTGCCTCTGTTCTCGCCTGCACTGAGGCTCCGGCCTGTCAGCCCTGCTCGTCTGGCCCTGGGGGTCCTCTGTCCTCACGCACTGCTCGGAAGCCCTCTCTCCACACAGCAGCAAACAAAGCAGAACAAAGCTCACCCAAATAAAGCAAATCAACCGGCCGCGGACAGGGCCTCTGTGGGCCATGCTGGCCTCTCGTCTCACATGTCCGTGCCCTCCCCTCAGCCCTTCGCAGCTCCAGCTCCCGCCTGCTGGAAACTCCCCCAGAGGTTACCCTGCCCCGTCCGGGCTGGGCCAGCGTCCCTCACCCACCGAGGTCTGTGTGTGTCCGCGCAGGCCGTGCCCCTCGGGGTGTCAGCCCTGCTGGCATCTGTCCTGGTTACTCCCAGGCCCTGACGCAGAGCTGCACACCTTTAGCACTTAGTAAACAATTATCCGCCTGCAGAGGGAAGGCCGAAGCCTGCGCTTCCGTACAGTGGGCCTCAGCGCCCGTCGTGCCTCGGTCCTCTTGCTTCACCCTTCTCAGCATCCAGCCAGGCTCCCCAGGGCATCACCCCCACCTCGTGCCCTACTCAGGCGCAGCCCTGTTAGCAGCCATGCTCCTGGGCCACTGGCCTCGCCCAGCTCCAGGGCCCTTGTCCCCCTGGGCTGGCTGGGCTATGCAGGCCCCCTCTCAGCCTGTCCCTCCCCGTTTCTCTCAGTGTCTTTCTGTCTCTGTCTCTCTGATTTGTCTCCCTCTCTGCCTCTTCTTCTTCCTTTTTTTTTTACCCTTTTGAGACAGGGTCTCACTATGCAGTTCAGGCTGGCTTTGAGCTCACTTTGTAGCCTGGCTGGCCTCAAATTTGCAGCGATCCTCCTGCCTCAGCCTCCCGAGTGCTGGGATTACACGCCTGTGCCACCACGCCTGGCGGTTGCTGCTTCTTGTCCCCAGAATTTTATTTATTGCAAAAGCAACATTATACCAGCATTGAAGGACATTGTTAAAGGGGAAATTTCCTGCATGGCCACATGTCCTGAGCACAGAGACTGTTTTCTTATTTTCCATGTTTTCCTCCCACCTGAGCCTGAGACACCTGGGTCTGTTGTCACAGCGAGAGGTGGGCCCTCCCTCCGCACATGTGCGCACCCCTGTCCTGTTGCTGATGGCCGCAGCCCCACACGGACACAGGCTCGACGCCCTCTTCTGTTGAGTTGGTGCAGAGTGCGCTAACCAGCGTTGCCTCCCCCAGGGAAATGTCTCAGAGGCCGCAGCAGGAGCCAGCAACGGCAGTGGCAGCCAAGGTGGCTGTGGTCATCTGCACAGCCCTCGGGGAGAGTAACCTGGCGTCGCCTGCACAGCTGGCCTGCACACAGCCCTCATCTCGGCAGGCGGCAACAGCTGGGCTCGTTCCTGCAGAGCTGGTGGGTAACCTGCAGACCAGGGAGGTCTTCCTGGAGGGCGGAGCTGAGCCACACTGCTACCCTGTTTAGTGACAGGTGGGGAGATCACCAAAACAGAGGGGACTTGGAGTGGAGGGGTATTAACTTTTCCAAGTGCCCCGACTTTGGTCGCAGGGGTGGTGTCACTTTGTCTAAAAATACCCACCGGGAAAGAAATACTCTGTTGGAATGAGCCCAGGGTGTGCCAAATGTGCGCAGGCCCTGCTCCCAGTCATTGCCACCACTGCTGATTCCCGGGCCTCTGCCGAGCTGGGGCCCTGGCGGTGGCAGGGCCCTGGGGCATTCTCCAGGAGCAGACCAGGGAAGGAGGCTCCTCCCCCTGCGCCGCTAGCTCCTCTCTGTGCCTTGTTGGTCTCTGTCTGGGCCTCTCTGTCCCTCCGTCCCTTTCCAGGAAGCCCTCCCTGCTGTCTCCCTGAGCTCCAGCCCAGACCCGTCCTGTGCCTGCCCAGCTCAACATCTGTAGGGGTGCCTGGCCCCTCCCTTAATCCTAGGTCTGGAAACCACCCTCCCCTTTTTGGGGGACAGGGCCCCTGGCAGCCTCAGGATGGATGGGGGCACCTCCCAGGAGAAGGGCTACTCAGAGGACACTGGGCACTCCCCAGGGGACAGTAGGAGCCCTGCTTACTTCCCCAGGGGACTCGGGCCTTCAGAGCCACATTTCAGGTGCCACCTGGGCACTTGGCTTCTGGAGCCCTGGCTCTGCCCCCAGGGATCCCCGGGGGTCTGCAGGAGAACTGGTTCAGCCTCCTGAGAGCCATAGCGGCCTTGGGTTTACTCTGCCTCCTGCGCCAAGGGCACAGCCTCCTTATGATTAGCGATGGACCTCGCGCCTGGCAGGGTGGTGACGGAGCTGGGGCAGGGCTCGCATTGCTCCAGAGCCCATCTCAGTGTTTCTCAAGCTTGACTGGGGCAGACTGCGGCCTCTCTCCTATCCACCCTCTGCCCTTCTGAGGCCTCTTTAGAAGAATTCATTCCAGAAAGTGCATATGTATAGTGTTGCTATGTGAATATGTTGTGGAATGACTAAATCATGCTAATTCACTGAGCCCTTGCTTCACGTACTTTTTGTGTGTGATAAGAACACTTAAAATCTACTCTCAGCAGTTTCCCAGCATACAGTCCACACTGCACCGCTTGAAGCAGCATCTGTGCGAGACACTTCATCTTCTGAGACTGTACCTTTGACCAGCACCCACCGGGAGCCCACCTCGACCTGGAAACCAACTTTCTGCCCTGTCCCCCACTGAATTTGACTTCTTCGGGTTCCTCATGCAAGTGAAAGCACACAGGACTTCTCTTTCTGCACCTGGCTCATGTTCCCCAGGTCCTTCCATGGCACTGAAAGCAGTAGGGTTTCCTTCTTCCGGGCTGAGCCAGCGCCCTCTGCATATGTGCACCACATTGCCTTTATCCATTGTTCTGCTCACGGGTACTGCAGTGGGTTCCACTTCTTGGCTACTGTGAATGAGGCTGCAATAAACACGGGAGTAGCAAAGTCCCTCACATGCCCAATTTCATTCTCTGGGACGTTGCACTCAGAAGATAGACTGCTGGACACAGGGTGGTTCTATGGTCAGGTTTTTAAGGAACTTCTATAAAGTTTTGCATAGTGACCAAGCTAATTTACATGCCACAACAGTGCACAAGTGTCCCTTTTCTGACATCCTCGCCGACGCCTGTTCTTTCTGCTCGGAGAGTTGCCATCCTAACGGGCGAGGGGACCTCACTGCAGTTTGGATTTTTACTTCTCCAGCCTGAGCGATGCTGGGCGTCTTTTCTTCCTGCTGTGCCATCGGTAAGCTCTCTCCTGAGAAATGTCCAGTGGCACCCTTGGCCAATTCTCCACTACATGATTTGTTTTCTAGCCTGTGTGCTGCTGGGATCCCTTCTATATCTTGGATATCAGTCTATCAGCCATAGGGTTTGCAAATATTTTCTCCCGGTCCACAGACTGTCTTTGCACTCAGCTGATGGCTTTGTTCTCTCTGCGGAAGCTTTTTAGGTGGATGCAGTCTCATTTATCTGTTTTTGCTGTCTGTGCTTTGGGGATGGTATTTCTGGGGACTTCTTAAAAGTGTACTTGTGTGCACTGTTGGCAGGAAAACGAACAGTGAGGCTGCTGGGGAAACCGGTGTGGCAATTCCTCTAAAGTTAAAAATAGATCGACCGTGACATCCAGCAACTTCACTTCCGGGTACGTATGCAAAAGAAGTGAAAGCAGGGACACAAAGAGGTATTTGCATACCTACGTTCCTGACAGCAGCATTCACAATAACCAACGTGCTGCTGAATGGATGGATGGAGAGAGAAACGGCTCATCCATATGGTGGGTTATTACTCTGCCCTAAAAAGGAAGGCGAACTTGGCACGTACATAACACGGATGGACCTGGAAGGTGTTCTGTGAAGGGAAATAAGCCAGACACAGAAGAACAGACATTGTGTGATTCTACGCATAGGAGACTTCTATTTTACTGCATGTATTTTTTTTTAATTTTTTTTTTTTTTTTTTACTGCATGTATTATACCTTACTTTAAAAGTGACTGTTTATTCATTTATTTATTTTTTTTGTATTAGGGACTGAACCCAGAGCCTTCACACTGAGCTACATCCCCAGGCATTTTTTATTTTTGTTTGTTTGTTTGTTTTTTTTGGGGGGGGGGTTTCTCTGGTACTGGGAACCGAACTCACTACCTTGCGCTTGCCAGGCAGGCGCTTTGCCGCTGAGCTAAATCCCCAGCCCCTCTTTTTCATTTTTTATTTTTGAGACAAAGTCTTAATAAGTTCCTAAATTCCCCAGGTTGGGCTTGAATTTGTAATCCTTCTGCCTCAGCTTTCTAGAGTGTTGGGACTACCTGGGTGTACCACCATGTCTGGCAGAAATAGAACAAGTACATAAAATAAAATGTTTTTTTTTTTTTTGTCTTTTTTGAGACAGGATCTCCCTGTGCAGTTCAGGCTGGACTTGAGCTCACTTCGTGGCCCAGGCTGGTCTCAAACTCGCAACGATCCTCCTGCTTCAGCCTCCCGAATGCTGGGATTACAAGCATGTGCCACCACACCCTGCAATAAAATGATATTTTAAAAATGTGTATGTTAGGCACTCATTTTTATCTTTTGTAGGCTGGGCCGTGTGTATGGCCACTCTGAGAACAGGCTCTGGATTAGCAGACGTGGGTCACATTATTGGCCTGGAGAAATGCCTACCTGCTGTGTGGACCTTGGGCAAATACCTCAGCTTCTCTGGGCCTCAGATGTTCATCTTAAAATGCAGCTAATAAGAACACTGGTGTCACAGGGCTGTTGGGAGAATTGGTGAGAAAACATGAACAGGGACCTGCCAAGGCCAGCACCAGCAGCGATCCATCACCCCAAATGCACATCCAGTGCTACAGAGGGCTGGGCCTAGGCTCTAGGAGTACAGATTCCCATGGGGGTTAGGGAAGATGGGTTCCCCAGGCAAGGAAAGCCAGATATAAACAAGCTACCTTAACAATTATGAAATGCACCGGGCAGGAGGACACAGAATGCCAGGTGGGACGGGCCCAGGCCTCCTGGGTGGGGCCGCTTTGGCAGAGACCCAAGGAGTCACAGGGACAGATGGCCCGCAGGTGCTTTCAGAGACCAGAGCAGCAGGAGCACAGGCCAGGAGGCCAGCAGAGAGGGGCTGGCGAGGCCTGGGTGAGCTCTGGTTGGGGGGCCACCGCAGGTCTCTCTAGGACACGTGCGCGGTCACCTGTGTTTGGACCTCAGTCTCGGGTGAGGCCGGTGGAAGCCGGCGACAGACAGCGGCACCGGGCGGGGCTCCGGACGGAAGGCGTTATGCTTGGCTGATAACGTGGGGGCCACTGCCGGGTCCTACCCAACCCAGCCCCTAGTGACCAGTGACTCACAGCCTGTGGCATCAGACCAGGGAAATGGAAAAACCCGAGAGCATTCATAAATATTTTCTCCATAACCCTCATTATTTATGTCTCTAAATGGCCAGAGGTGTTACTTCCCTTCCGCTCAGCCACATTCCCAGTGAAAGAAGCAAAGGTGTCCCTTCCTGCTGGGTCCCTCCTAGGGGGAGCTGGAGTACTGAGGTCTGTTTACACCGAGCTTTTGTAGGCAAAGCATGACAGTGACGATGGTGACAGTGAGGGTGGTGATGTGGTCCTGACCCTGCCTGTCCTCCTCCCAGCGCAGAGGAGAGAGCATGGGTTTTGCCGGGAGAGCAAAGGCTCAGTTCTCCGTGGGCGATGGTTGGCTGTGTGGGAAGGGAGTCTGTTGCACGGTGAGCGACCGGCAGGGAGAGGAGGGCTGCCAGGAGTCTGAGCAGGTGATGGGCCTGAGCGGCAGAGAGAAGGCAACATCCTGGAGAGATGTCCTGGGGCCAGGGCCCAGGGTTCACCCTTGGGCCAGTGGTGCCAGTGAGAGAAAGGCCGGAGAGCTCCCGGCTTAGGCACAGGAGCTCCTGGGTGCCTGCCGCACACTGTGAGTCAGGAGCTGGGCACAGGGCGCTGGGCTGTGAGCAGAGCTAGCAGCGTGGTAAGAAATGCGGCATCGTCCCTAGGGTGAAACGCGTTTCTCCAGCCCGGGCCGGGCCCTCTGGTGGGGATTGGCTGGGAGGGGGAGATGGGGGTGGGAGCCGCCAGGGAAGGAGAGGGAGGCAAGAGATGGGGCGGCTCAGATGGCGCCCAAGAAACCGAGTGAAGGCCTCTGGCTTCCTGCTGCTGCCGCCTGGGCAGCATAGGTCGGAAGCCAACACAGCCTGGCACAAGAGGAAGCACCTGGGCCCCACCACCCCCAGAAGGCAGCCTGGCAGGAGCCATGGGCGTGGTCAGACCCGGGCCCTGACCCAGCTAATCCAGCGGGAGGAGGTGAGAGCGGGGCGGCCACCTGCCCCTTACAGGACCTGGGTAGGGAGTTGGCCGCAGCCTGGGGGCAGGCTCAGGGTCAGAACCCCATGACCTGCATCTGTGCCACTTCTTCTTTTTTTTTTTTTTTTTTTGGGTCTTTTTGAGGCAGGGTCTCGCTCTGCAGTTCAGGCTGGCCTTTTGGTTTTTCTCCGGTACCAGGAATCAAACTCATAACCCTGCGCTTGCCAGGCAGGTGCTGTGCCACTGAGCTAAGTCCCCAGCCCCCATCTGTGCCACTTCTAATGTCCCCAGAGGCCTTGGACAAGTCGCAGCCCTCCTCAGAGCCTCAGTTTCCCCACTGATAAAGCCACAGGGCTGAACCCAGCAAAGAAGACACACATGGGGCGGTCCAAACTGTGGTGAATGTTTAAGTAAAAATACGTATTAAGGTGAAAGACACACTGCCAAAAGCGCTGGGTGTTTGAAGTGAGGGTGGCTTTTTCAGGAGGATCGATAGCAAAGTATCTTTCACTCTAAGAAGTTTTTATTTAAATATTCCACTGTGTGTTTTGGTCATACCTCATGTCTGTCACATAAAAAGATGATGCTGTGTCCTCCTCCACTTTGTTCAAAGACTGGCACTGTGTGACTTCTGGCTCTTCCCCAAAATCGAGACGACCGTGAAAGAAAGGTAAGTGCTTTGAATTGACGCAGGACACTGAGGCAGCCAGGGCTGTGCAGCCAAGGACGAGGACGAGGGCTCCCGAGCTGCTCCGAGGTGGCGAGAGCGAGGGGAGGGTGTGTGTGACGTGAGAGAGGCTGTGAATTAATGGCGCTGTCTTTTACCGAGGTAGAATTCTAACCGTTCTCTCATTGTTGAGGATACTCGACTGCTGGCCGCAGCGCTGGGAGGCTGCAGGGATGGGGGCTGAGCCCTCCCCTGGGGGCCCAGGCTGAAGTCCCCGAGGACTCTTCCCAGGCCAGAGGCTCTGGTGGCCTCGGGGATCTGGAGAGGGAAGCCGAGGTCCTGAGGAAGGAGTGCCCAGGGAGGACAGGACTGCCCCAGGGGCCCACTGGATTAACCCTGAAGCCTGGTCACCCAGCAGGTCCCTCCCTCTGCACTGGGCAGCCCCCGTGACACACACATTCTCCCCTGCCCCATGGCACACAGTCTCAGTCCCGTTCCGGGGCCATGGGTGGTCCTGCCGGGTTGGCAGGCGACATCGGTCGGGAGCTCCAGACTTCGTCCTTCGAGCCTCCTGCCTCATGATCCAGTTTCTCCCACTGGAGGTCCAGGCAGCAGAAGCCCAGGCCTCCTCAGGACGGGCACAGGCACCCAAGCCTCCCTGGCACTGCTTTCCTGGGCTGACCGCCCTCGGCAGGGCCAGCCCAGCAAGGAATCCAGGCCCAGCAGCTGTCACAGCGGCAGGGACTACTCCCTTCTTTTGTCGGGGCTGTTTGGTTTGGTCCAAGGCAGTATTAACTTATAAACTAAAGAATAAAAAAATGTTTGGAATTTTGTTGTGCTTGACACATGGAGTCCCAACATTCACTGAGGAAGGAATGCGTTCCTTGGCCGGGAGGGGGTGGCCCCAGCCTGCGGTCACTGATGCAACACAGGACGACGGGTTCTCGGCTTTTGGCTCCACAGACGAGGCCGGATCTGAGTCACAGGGATAATGGCTGTGGCACTGCTGGGCAGGTCCCTGCAAAGGGAAGGCAGTTCATGCGGAAAGCAGTGGGTGAAAGTGAGCTCATCGGGTGGAGATTTGCATTGAACTCTCCTTCACCCTCATTTCCAGGTGTGCTTACCTGCCCGCCTGCTGCTATTAGCCCACTCGGCCGTGAGCAGTGACACCCAGCAGCTGGGCTGCAGGCGACAGTCTGCTCAGCTCTCCACAGGCTTGTCCTGCCTTGATCCTGTGGGGCAAGCTCCACGTCTTGTCCAGACCAGAGGACCAGCTCTGCCCTCTAATGAGCCAAGTTCTGGCATCATCTGCTCTTCTGGGGGAAGCTGGCAGGAGTGTGGTTGGAAGGTCATTTCCCCTTTTCTGAGAGTGACACATTTGAATAACAATAAAGAGCTCCCCTTAAAAATATCCAAACACAGAGCTGTCCAGAAGCCAGTGAGAAGTGGGGAGGGTGAGAGGGGCTTCTGGCCGCCTCTGCCTCAGTGCATCCGAGACGCGGCCCAGAGTGAGCGCTGTGACAGCAGAGCTGGGCTGTGCTCTGCCGGAAGACGCAGTGAGTGCCAGGCTGAGGCGGCCAGGCCAGGGTGGACTGCATGCCGGACACCAGACACCCGAGCCCAGGTCCTCTCCTCCTCAGTCCCTTCGGTTCCCCCGAATGTCCCCTGGCTTCTGGTGGCCCCTCTGAGTGCGGCCCAGTTCCCCTTTCAGCCCCCCACCTTCAGTCCAGAGCTCTGAGCTGCAGCTTCCTGGAGTCTTCCTCGGAAGCTTCCCTACTCCAGGTGCCGCTCACATGTGGCCGGATGCACCTGCAAGATGGGGGCAGGAGCAGCCCCACCCCCGCCTGCCAGCCCCACAGCCTCCTCCACTGGGTCTCTAAAGCTCGGCCTCCCTTGGGGCCCCACCATGGTGGCAGCACTGACTTCTCACCAGCTCCTACTCTGGGCAGTTGACTTCTGATTGGACACAAGAATCAGCTCTGGCTGAACTGTGTCAGTGGTGGAATGTCCTGCCTGCCCCTCAAGAGGAACACTTCAACTGGAAAATTACCAGGCCGGGAATGGAGGAAGTTTCTGTCCTGGGGGCACTTGGAGATCCGTTTCCTGGGTGGGCCTCAGCTCGAGCAGCTAGCTCCTGGTGACGTTATGACAACCACTTCCTGGCCCTCCGGCTGCTGGGAAGGCCACGTCAAGGTTGAGGTCTGAGGGACGCAGCCTTTCGTGACCAGAGCGGGCTCTAAGCTCTGTTGATGCCTCTGCACACCCACGTTAGGTAACTCCTTTTCAAAGCACCTAGAAGCCAGGTAAATATGAGGAAGGGTTGTGCACTGGTTAGGTCATTAACACAGAAGGCACAATGGTCAGCGTGCCCAAGTAAGGCCAGAGGTTTTGGGGCAGCAGGCTTAGAGTTCCTGAGCGCCAACCCCCATGGCAGTGCCACCATGTCACAGACAGCGCTGATCTGAACCTCTGTCCTCCTTGCCCAGCCTCCTCTATGGGTGGAGGAGGGCACTCGATGGCCTCTAAGTCCTCTCCAGCTGCCGAGACCTCTCACGTGCGTCAGGTTCCCTCGTTTAGATGAATGAATGACCCCCAGGAGACCCTCTGTGCAGTGTGGGAGAAGGCATTTCCTTTCACTTCACAGACCAGCCTAGTGCCAAAAGCTGGGGTCCGGGCCTATGCAGAGAGAGGCTCATACCTGGCTATCTCAGGCCTGAGCCCACTGGCCTTGACCCCAGCGAGGCCCATGCAGGGCATGCCTACCTTCACATGCAAGGAGCCAGCCAAGGGCAGGGTGTCAGTGTTTCCTCCTGCCTTCCTCTGCGGTGCACGTGAGGTGACTGCCACGTGTCTTAACAGTCAGGGCCCCAGGGCTTCGCTCTCACGTTTCTGGGGCTCCGCCTCAATCCTGGTGCTGCTCACTGGGGAGCCAGGCAAGGTTTTTCCTGATGCTGTGGACACCAGTGGACAATACTGAACCATCAAGGGCCCTGGTGACATGAAACGGCTAAGCCTTGATGGTGTACGTTAGGAGTGACCAGGAGCCACAAAGTGGCCTGTCACAAGGCCCACAGTAGGTAGGGCTTGGGATGTCTGTCAGGACATGGTCTGAGCAGGTGGAAGCTGCGGGGGGACTTTGGTTCAGGGCCCCTCTAGGCCATTGTCCCAGGACAGGGGCAGTGTGGAAGGGAAGTGGGGGCTGACTGTGCTTCTCAAGGTGCCCTCCCCACTTCCCCAGGCCTGGACAGGGAGTCCTGCTGGCTTTCTTCTGGTTTCCTAGGCAACAGATGAGGCTGGGGAGGGCAGCTCGAAGCCACACAGCATCCTGGTGCGGTGGGTGTGTGACTGTCTGGGCATGCTTGCGTGTGTGTGTGTGTGTGCATGCATGTGTGCATGCGTGTGACAGGAGCTGCACGATGGTGGGTTCCGCAGTAGAAATAGAAGGGGATCATGTGGGCTGGGGTGCAGCTCGGTGGCAGGGCGCTTACCTGGCCAGTGAGGGCCTGGGCTCCATTCCCAGGGAAGGAGGACGAGGAGTCGGGGAGCAGGGAGGAGAAGAGGAAGGGAAGAGCCGTTTTCAAACCTGGACCTGCTGACCTTTGGTCTCCCAGAACACTAGAGCGCACTCGGGCTGCCTGGGCTCCCACCAGCAGGCCAGCGCATCAGGCCAGGTCTTCCATGCTGCAGGTCGGTGCTGATCTCGAGGCTTGTCTGACCATGGCGCCTTGCTTGTCCCGAGGCCTCATGGCTGTCAACCTCGGTGGGCTGCCTGTAGGCGGGGGCCGGTAACAGGGCCTTTGGAACCCAGCCCGTGGCTCTGTGTCTGTCCCGTTCTTGCAGCTGCCAGCCGTGGCAATGGCCACGGGGCTCTGGAAATGTGCACACAGCGGTTTATTCTCTTCCAGTTTAACTGAAAGCCAAAACTGAAAGCAGGCACTTGCTCTGCCCAACCAGTAAAACCACTGAAGTGTGTGGGGAACGCTCGGATGAGTGAATGTCTCTGCTGCCTGTGAAATCCAAGTCCACGTGAGGCGTCCCGGTAACACTCAGGGTCCACACGGACACGAGCTAAGTGCAAAGCGCACGTCAGGTTAGGGGACTTGGACTAAAGGGAAGGTAGACTCTCGCCAGTAACCGCAGCCGGCTGAGGCCAAAGCTGAGGTGGGAGGATCCCAGGTTTCAGCCCGACCTGGATAATTCAGCAACTGAGCAAGATCGTGTCTCCAAAAAAAATTTTTTTTAGAGAGCTGGAGATGTAGCTCAGTGCAGAGTCCTCAGTTCAGTCCCCTGCCGTGTAAACAGCGGAAACTTTATATTGACTACATGGCAAAATGGCAGTATTTTGCCTGCACCGGGTTTAAATGAAAGGTACCATTAAGATTAGTGCTGAGCGTTTCCCTTCCCTTTTCCTGTGTGGCTGCTGTGCAAGTGCGCAGCGCAGCCCCTTTTCTTGTCTATTTGACCCTGAGCCTAGGGCTGTGCAGAGCCGAGCAAATGCTCTTCCCTGAGCCACGTCCTTGGGCTCCCACTCTTTCTTTTTTGAGTCAGGGTCTCACTAAGTGGCCCCGGCTGGCCTCGAACTCACCCTCCTCCTACCTCAGCCTCCCTCGTGGTGGGATTGTGGATGTGTGCCTCCGTGCTGGCTCCATTGTATCTTTACTGAGCACTGCCCTCGGTGCAGACTTCTGCGATCTTTACGAGTGATGCACCGGGGGGAGGGGGGGGGGGAAGCTCAGAGAGAGCAGCTCCCTGCCACGTAGCCTGGCACAGCGGGCATCCCCTCAGAGGACAGCTCGCTTGTAGTCCTCAGGGTGTGAGGAGTGTGCGTGTGTGAGTGTGTGCACGCACATGTGACACTCGTGAGCGCCTGGTGCCATCTCAGAGCCAGTTGGTGGGGTCAGTTCCCAGACTGCGCCTGGGATGTTTCCTTCTGCCCCAGAAAAGAGCTCCAGACAAACTTCCATGCTGGGACAGAGGGGACCTCCCTGCCCCTCTTACCGGCCTAGGACTGAGGGGAGGCACTGGCTTCTGTCCAGGCAGGACTGCTTTGGGTTTTCTTGCCCTCTCTGAGCCCCAGCAGCAACTGCACCCCGTGGGAGGGGCCGGGTACCGTGTGGGGAGGGGCTCATACTGGGAGGGAGCCTGGGCAGGAGGACTTGTCTTGTGTGCTGGGGACCCCTAGACAGCTCCGTGTGGGCAAGCCTTCACTTGGGTGTTCTTGGAGCCCCTCGGGGAGGGGCTAGCGGCCTTCCCTGGGCTTCGCTGGCCCTGCTATTCATGGTCCCATCTTCAAAGGTCACAGGCTTTGTCTGGGAGACTCCAGGTTGCAGAATTACTCAGAGTTCCTGCCCCACCCTCAGGAAAGGACAGGTCATACAGGGATCCCCGTGCCATGTCACAGGCACCAGAGTGGAAATGTTTGAGAAGTGCACTCCTCTGCTCAGACGAAATCTCCTCCTCCCGGGTGGAAAGGGCAGTTCCAGGCACCACTCTGTGGGTGTGGGTGCAGTTGCTGGGGGCGGGTGGGATGAGCCATGAAGCAGGACCTGGGTTCTGGTCGTGACCCCAGGGATCAGCCCTGTGCGTGCCCATCTGTAAAACCTGCCCCTGCCCCTCCTACTTCCTGGGCTGTAGTGAGAGTGACAGATGAGCCTGTGGCCCACAGCGCAGGAGCGTAGCAGGCTGTAGGCCGGGGCCCCAGGCTTCACAGGAAGTCCGTCTTGGGCAGGCGGCAGGCTCGAGGGCCACAGTGGAAAAGTCCTGCTCAGCGATAAGGCCAGTCCCTGCTGTCCCTCCTCCTGCTGCCACAGTGGGCCAGTGGGCCGGGGGACTTCCCCCAGAGCTTGGCTGGGCTGAGTCATGCTGGAGGGGCTGGTGTGTGGAAAATTCCGGGTCAGGGGACGTATGTTTCACTTTCTGGGTCTGGTGATGGCTCGGCTAACTCGGCCTCCTCTTTCACCCAGCTCGGGCTGAGTCATGGTGAAACTTGAAGGAGGTGCGAGCCTGTGTGAGCCACAAAGGCCGGGATAGCAGGGCACTGGGTCAGCGTGGAAGAGGTCTCCTTGGCACCCCGGCCAGCGGGAACGGCCTTGGGTTCTGAAACCAACAGCAGGGAAATTTCCCTAGGGTTGTTTTTAAAGTCCTTATGAAGAGCTGGATGTGCTCTGCAGTCACCTGTGAGGCTGATGAGAGTCAGCCACTGTGACGGGGGCAGTGCCAAGCCAGGCGCATCTTGCTCACCACAACCTGTGAGAACGCGTTCTTCTGGAGCCGTGTCAGCACCCGGCCATGGGGCCAAGCGCCTAGGAGCACGCAGGCACTGCCGGCTCCCTCGGTACCCATGGATCGGCCTGGCCTCAGCCCCTCCACGGCTCAGGAGCAAATCCAAGCTCCCATAGGTTCACCCCGTCTGCTCTGGTGCCGCCCAGCTCTGCGGCCTCCCCTCCCCGTAAGGACTCGCGGGCAGGGCCGCCTCCCCATGCCTCTCTGCGCCTGGCACTGTCCACCCCAGGTATCTGAGTCAGCCTGTGGCGTGGAGCCGTGGTAGAGTTCCTGATCTGATGCTGCTTCTCCCAGCGTCATTTTTTCTTCTCTACTGGTGTTTCTCTTTGAGGAAACTGGGCACATCTGGTGCCCATGCCCTACAGATGTCCTTCCCACTGAGGCAGGCCCCGGGCCTTGGGAGCTGGCTCTTGCCAGATCAGAGGCATTGGTGGGTTGGTTTATTGTTTTCCTTTGGTCTGTGAACAGAATATTTCACTGTGTGAAATTCAGCACCATGTAGCCCACTCACAATGTTGTGTAACTGTCACCACTATCCAATTCCAGAACATTAAAAAAACAAAAACAACAACAACAAAAAAAAAAACAGAAAAAAAGGGGCTGGGGATTTAGCTCAGCGGCACAGTGCCTGCCTGGCAAGTGCGACGTCATGAGTTCAATTCCTGGTACCGGCAAGAAAACAAAAACAAAAAAAAGAACCTTTCCATCACCCCAAGGAAGAAACCCGTCCGCAAAGCAGTCACCCGCTCCCGTCTCTGCAGACCTGCCTGTTCCACGCACCTTGTATAAACGAATCATGCAGCATGGGGCCTTCGCAATGGCTCAGAAACCTGGATGAATCCAGATCCATGGACACAGAACGCTTCAAGTAGTTTTCCAGACCTTCTTGGGGGAAGGCTCTCATTCCGTACCTGGTTGGTATGCTGGAGAACTGATGTTTTGGGGTGTAGGTTTTTTTTTTTTTTTTTGTCTTTTTGAGACAGGGTCTCACTATGAGGTTCAGGTTGGCCTTGATCTCACTTTGTAGCCCAGGCTGGTCTCAAACTAGCAGCGATCCTCCTGCCTCAGCCTCCCAAGTGCTGGGATTACAGACATGCACCACCACACCTGGCTTGGGGTGTAGTTTCTAAAAATCTTTCGAACGCAAATGAATTTGGTGCATAACAAGTCCAAGCAGACCTCCTATCAGCAGGGCAACTCAGCCTTCCCTTATCAGTTCAGAACTTTGCGACATCTTGGTCATGCTGGAGTCTTGCCCAAGCCTAATTTAATAGCATGGACTCTAATGGTGCAACACATGCTTCTCTTCCCAGGATGCTGGATGCTTGCCCTCAGGCCCTGCTTCTGGGAGGTGTCGGACAGTGAGGCTGGTGTGTGTCATGAAACAAGCTGGGGACACAGTAGAGAACAGCTTCTTGTAGGCGATACCTGTGGACCTCGCTCCTTTCCCTTCTTCGAGGTGAGAGGTGCAGGTGCTGACGTCCGGGGACCGCTGAGTTAAAAGAGAACCCGTCCACAACAGAGGCGGGGTGAGCCACCACACAAAGCCACAGGCAGGGAGCGGGTGCCTGCGTTCTGACTCCTCGGTGAAGGCCCAGCGGGGAGGCCGCATCCTGCTTGGCCTGGCCTTTTCTTTGGGAACGTTCCCCAGGGTGCTCTGTTCCTGGCCTCACGGCCCAAGGCCAGGGCTGAGGCCCCTGAAGGCGAACCTCTGTGCCCCAGCCTCAGCGGAGCGGGTGAGAAATGGTGTGTGAAGGCCAGAAGTTTGGGGTGCCGGGGATGTTGGGGCTGCCTGTGATCCAAGGGTTCCCCTGGTAAGCAGAGGAGTTCCCCATGTGTGTTGGGGGGTGAGTTCCGGTGTAAGCACTTACCTTGGAGCCTTAGGACCGAGGAATAGAGGTGCTGGGGGCCACCTTGAAAACACTGCTCCTGGAGCCGCTCTCCCCCGCCACCCCCGTGTGTTCTGCTCCTGGGCCACGACTCCAGATGGTGGCCTCGGGGTGACCTTTGTGAGCTGGGGCCACTGGGATGCGTGTTTCATGCATCCCTGGGACCTTGAGTGCATAGAGGACGCCAGCCCAGCCCTACGCACCCCCAGGAAGCGTGGGCAGTGGGGTTCAGGCGCTGCTGAGGGAATGACATCAGGGCGCCGCCCTGACCGGTGACCGCAGGGGGCTTGGCCTCTCCAGTCGGCTCCCTGGGCTGCGCAAGGGAATCGCCTGCCCCCCCCCCCGCCAAACTGCTGCCCCTCGTGCTTTTCCTCCTCCCGAGTCCATCCTGGGGGCCAGATGCCTCCAGCCCTTGCCAGGCTCCCCTGCTTCTCAGGCCCTCGGTTCCCCCAACTGGAAAATGAGTCTGTTCCGTCCTTTCAGAGTTTTAAAGTTCCTTTTCCAGCCTATGAGCACGGGGCTCTAGGTGGGATAGAGAATCCAACGGCCTGGTCCTTGCATGGGTATCGCTCCCCTTCCTGCTGGTGCTGGAGCCTGTGAAGTCCCCCGTCCCCCTTCACCGGCCTCCAGGGCAGTGCCCGAGGGGACCAGGTTCTGGAGGTGCCGCTTTGTGACTCCCTCTGTCCCAAGTCCCCCCATGCATTACTGTAATTGGCCAGGAGAGGGCAGCCGTGCCCCAGCTGAGCGCAGGCATTCAGCAGGAGGGAGGGCCAGGGTTCCAACCTCCTGGGGCACCTGCCAGGAGCCTTCCCAGGACTCCCCTGAAGCCAGCATCTCTTGGGAGCAGTGGGGAGGTCTCAGGTTAACTCTCAGGGTCCTCTGGGTACCGTAAGCAGGAGGAAGCAGCAAGGTGGATGGATTAGGGATCCCAGAATGTCAAGGTAGAGGGAAGCTCCATCTCCGCATCAGCCTGCACGGGTGAGAGGTGGACTGAGACCTCTGTAGCAGTGAGCTAAAGGAAATCTTTTCCCCTTAAATTGTTGTTCTCCTGTGTTTTGTCACAGCGATGAAAAGCTAACACATTCATGTTCATAAGAGCATTATTTGGGCTATTGCCAAGAGGCAGAAGCAATTCGCGTGTCCATGAATGGATGAATGGACAGATAAAATGTGGCCCAAGCTTGGGGACACCATCACGAATTCAGGGGCAGGGGGATACCATTGTCAAACTAGAGCTTCAAAGCCCAACTCTCCTGCTTACCAGGAATGGACTCTGCCCCAAATTTCTCAGCTGGCAGAGCCTCAGTCACCCCACCTGTCTGTTGGGGGAAGAATAGTGCATGTTCACAGGCTTGACATGAAGGTCAAAAATCAGGTCATACACACAGAATGCTAAGTTCAGCGCCTGGGCTCCAGATTTCACAATGCACCCGCAAACTGACCCCCAGTGCAAAAGCTTTCAGAGGTATCGCTCTGCTTGCTTTTTGTTACTGTTGTTAAACCATTGATATACGTTTGTCATGGTGAGATAGACACACCAAGATTTACCCTTCCATCGTTAATTGTCCAGTGGAGGTTGGTTCACAAACTTAATTTTTTCCACAACGCTGGCCTCAAACCGAATCGAACAAGAACCGAATCAAATTCAGTGGTTGGGTTCAGTGTTGACATGTGGGGAAATTTGATACTAGGTAGTTCAGAATCATAAAGCACATTCACGTGACTGTGTGGCTGTTGATCCCATCATCTCCAGAACGTCTTCCACCTTGCAAAGTGAGACTCTGTCCCCATTAACTCCCGTGCCCTCCCTAACCAGCTCCAGACAGCCAGCATTCAGCTTTAGTCTCTGAATGTGACCACAGCAGGAACCTCACATAAATGGAATTGTGCAGGATTTGTCCTTGGGACTGGACGAATTTTACTCAGCATAAGGTCCTAAAGGTTACCGATGCAGTACCCGGCACCAGAACGGCCTTCCCTTTTAAGGCTGACTGATATTCCATTGTACCGGCCACATTTTGTCTATCCATTCATCCACTGATGGACTTGTGGGCTGCTCCCGCCTCCTGGCTACTCGGTGATGCTGCTGTGAACATGGCGCATGGTGTCTCTTGCAGACCCCCCTCTCGTTCTTTGTCTGTATGCTCAAAGTTTCCAGAAGTGGGATTTCTGGGTGGAATGCATAGTGATAACCACGTTGAATTTTTTGAGGACCTGCTGTGCTGTCCCAGCTTCATTCTGGGCTTTTTAAAGCAGAGCCCCTCAGTTCTCATGTAAGCACGGTACACACAACTCGTTTATCCACGGAGGAGCCACTGGTGCTCAGGGAGCTGTTTTCGGCTCAGGGCACAGATGGTGCTGCAGCCGGGCACGTCCGTGTGTGAGCAGTGAGTGCACTGTGTCTGCTCCTCTGACGGGGCCGTGAGCCGTACAGTGGTGGTCCAGGGTGTGCGTGTCCTGAACTGGATTTTTCTAATCCCACTCCAAGCAGACACCCCTTGAAAAGAGGATGTACCATGCTTGAATAAATACAGCGAGAATAACAAGGCCCACGGAAGCTGCAGGTGTTTATGGAATTCCTCCTTCGCGAGCTCTGACGCCTGCGGCAGCTCTAGGAGTAAACTCCACCATTCCCAGCTTGACAGAGAGGTAAAACAGTGACCAGCCTCACTGCTGCTAAGCGCTGAGCCAGTCTTCCAGTGCGGGAAGTCGTCATTCCCTTCAGAAAGCCGGGCCCGCAGGGGCTGCCCACACTCATTTGCCTCGCCGAGACTTTCATCACCTTTAGGGAATTTAGTTTTGAGGGGAGGGCAGAGGTGACGGTTGTGCTGCCACTGTGTTCTCTGCTGTTCTCCTGGATCTGGTGGGTTCTGCTGCCACCAAGAGGGCGGTGCCTATTGTCCCTGGCCTCCACGTGCACCTGTGTCACTCGCGGTGAAGGCTTCTGCTCAGTGATCAGAGATGTCTTGGTTGAAGATGAGTCACGGGAATAAACGAGCAGGCCTGGAGGGACGAGTAGTCAGCGTGCTGGCAATTGCGCAACTGCTTCTCCAGTCATCTCTTCTGACTGCAGCAAGGAAGCTCGTGGGGACCTTCAGTCCACTGAGAGGGGCCAATCGCCCTCAGTTACCCATTTATCTAACTCCTTTCTTATAGAATAGCTTGCCCATGAAGTTCACTGCTTTTATAATTTTTTTTTTCACTCGGCAGTATATTTTAGATAATGTGCCACATCCAATAAATACTTCTCTATGACATTGTCAGTGTCTACATACCTTCCTATTATAGTTTAGTGGCCTTATGTACATAGTTTTCAGCTTTCAGTATCATATGTAATGGCTCATCTTATGTGTCAATCTGTGTACAGATGCGTATTTGTGTAGGTAATATTTCTGTGGCATCTATTGGGACTTTGGTACATTGCGACAAAATGCACCCCCTTGACCCTTCTCTCTATTCCTAGAAAAGATGAGCTCATTTATACTTCTCTCAGCAACTCTTCTTATTTTTTGTTTGTTTGTTTTGCCAGAATGGGTTTTACAGCTTAAAGTGGTATTTGCCAATCTGACAAGATAAATTGGACGTCATTGGTGCCTTTGAGTCAACCGAAGTCCTAAGCTCATTGTCAATGGCCGTGTGCAGTTTGTGAA